AGTGTGCATTGAAGGAACCATTTCAATGCAAGGGAAAGAATGAGAGAAAATCATCTCCAGAGTAGAGAGAGATGATCTGACATTGAGCTCCCCATCACATACAAAGGAAATACCTCTGGGGTGCTGGCCAAGCCATGCAGAAGCTAACACAGAGCAAGAACACTCTACGACACTTCCCAAGACAATAGCAGGATGCCTCTTGAGTTTGATGCTTGGCATGTTGTACAAAGGTGCCTGGAGGGCTATTTGACATACCAGATTTGATGCATCCTCAGCTAGTCCTTGGAAATGATTAGCCATGGCTTCAGCAGTCTTTGCTTGGACTTACTAGTCCTCTAAATGCATCCAGCAGTGTTTCCTACAGTGTACCTGTCTGCCCTGGAGAGGGGCACTGCTCCTCATCCAGACCTGAGTCTTGTGCTGGCTGGACACTGCGAGACCTGATGACAGTTCATAATACTAATTTAGAATCACAGTAATATTAAATGTGAGTTATACTTGGCCGGCTTAGACTGTTGTTAGCTACCACAGAGGTCAAATGTGTGCTCTGAGTTCTTCCTGAACTCAGTAGTGTTACACAGATGTTAATGAGGCCAAGATTCAGCTATCAATTACTGTAATTTTCCTCCCTCATCCACTTGCCACAGTTCATAATGTGATCAGACCTAGTGCAGAGGATTGGGGACCATGGTGGTGCCCAGCTCCTGGCAGAGCAGTGAAGTGCTGGTGCTGTGGGCTCCCCGAGCAGAGCAGCCAAGCCTCTGGACCCTGGGGAGGGCTGCCTTAAACATCCAGGCACCTTACTGCACAGTAGGAGGGCTGCCAGAAATGGAGACTTCTTAATTTCATACCAAAGTCCCTTTAGTGGGCAGGCTGAAGCATGTAAGTGCACGCTTTGCTAGGACAAAATTTTGTATAGTTTGATGTCCTTACCTTCTGGTTACTTTGCTTCTCAAAATGAATAAGTGACCAGTCTCACATTAAGCTCCACCATCACTACCTCATAGAGGAGAAGCACCGAGCAAGAAATCTATTTCCAGGCTGCTGCTCCAGCCATTTTCTGAGAGGGTGCCCTATGCCTTATGAAAGTCAGTAGGTTTGTTAGAGCCTTACTTTTGCTGAGACTTCTCTGGAACGACATCTCCTCTGCTGCCATGCTCCAAGGCCAAAGCTGAGGGCTGCACCACAGTGAACTTCACGTGTCCTCCTGACACTGACTTTCTCAACCTTGCATAGAGGCACAGGTGACTGACTATTCCATTGCAACCTGCTCAGGCTGTTGTCAGCGTCCTGCCAAAAGCAAAGCTCCAAAGGTGTTGTGAGATGACAGTGGGCATGATTGTGCATTGATGGTAGAGCATCCTTGTGTGTGATTTGCTGATGTCACTATTTGGCTCAGGGTGTCAATTGCTGGTTAGAGTTTCTTGGAATGAAGGAAGTATTAACTGTAAATTGCTGCCACTGGTATCTAGTTACAGAATATATTGGGAAGCACTTGGGCGACAATCCAGCAAAGCACTTAAGCACCCACTGATTTTTCAGGAAAGGCCCCTTGACTGGGATTGCTGTGCTCTCAGACATCATCAAAAGTGTTTGTTAGTGGATCAGTACTTTCTCCTGACTACCTCAGCACATCCATCTCATTTTCTGAAGTGACTTAAGGAGTTGGGAGTTCAAGGTTGACTGGAAGTCTGCAGGAAATAAGCTGCTAAATCACTGCTGTGCTTTGAAAAGTCTACTCAGCTGGACAGCTGCTTCTGGTGTTCTTCATCCTTACTATAATAAATAAAATCATGACAGCTTTTAAATCACTGCTAAATTCTGAGGTTTGCCTTTGCCCATCTAGATGTTCCTGTTGCAGTGGGATTACCCAAGATATTCTAATATGTGGTGGATGGAACCATCTTTCCAAATGCAGACATAATGCAGTTTGTACCTATGTCCTGCTAACAGAGAGAGACCACCTGGCAGGAAGAAGATTGCAGTGAGAATTGATCAGAATGACTTAACCCAGGTGGGCTAATGAATTCAACAACCTTTTATCTAGAGCAGTCCCTGATGCCCCACAATGTCAGTAATCATTGAGCAGGATGGCTGCTCATGGTTTGGATCCATTTACTCTTCTCTGGGTAAAAACTGGCGAGTTGGCCAGGTCCAAAGAGTGGTGGTGAATGGAGTTAAATCTAGTTGGAGGACAATCACAAGTGGTGTTCCTCAGGCCTCGGTATTGGGGTCTGTTCTGTTTAACTCCTTTAGCAATGATCTGGATGAGGGCATCTAGTGCACCTTCAGTGAGTGTGCAGGTGACACAAAGCTGGGAGGGAGCATAGATAAGCTTGAGGGATAGGAAGCATCTTCAGAGGGATCTGGACAGCTTGTATCAATGGGCCAAGGCCAATGGTATGAGGTTCAACAAGGCCAAGTGCCATCTCCTCCACTTGGGTCACTACAGGCTTGGGGGCAACTGGCTGGAAAGCTGCCTGGCAGAAAAGGACCTGGGGGTGTTGATCAACAGCTGCCTGAATGTGAGCCAGCAGTGTGGCCAGGTGGCAAATAAGGCCAACAGCATCCTGGCTTGTATCAGAAATAGTGTGTCCAGCAGGACTAGGGAAGTGATTATGCCTCTGTAGTCAGCACTGGTGAGGCTGCACCTCAAGTACTGTGATCAGTTTTGGGCAACTCGGTACAAGAAGGACACTGAGGTTCTGGAGTGTGTCCGAAGAAGGACAGAGAAGATGGTGAAGGGCCTAGAGAACAAGTCTTTGAGGAGGAGCCAAAGGAACTGGAGTTGTTTAGCCTGAAAAAAAAGAAGGTTGAGGGAAGACCTTATCACCCTCTACAACTACCTGAAAGGAGGTTGTAGAGAGGTGGAGCTCAGTCTCTTCTCTCAATTAACAGGTGATAGGACAAGAGGAAATGGTTGGACTTGATCTTAAAGGCCTTTTCCAATCAAAATGATTTTATGATTCTATGGCATGAAAAGTCTTGTGAACCAATGAGACCATAGAGTCATACTTAGAGTAATAATGCATTGATTTAATCTCATGAAGAACAAATAAATCAGAAGTTGAGGTTATGGTTTAGGTGTCATTGCTTTCAAGTTTGACCTGGAAATGCTGATTTTCTCAGAATGTAAGTGGGAGGGTAGAGGAAAAGCACTGGGGAGGGGATTAATCCTACTCAACCTTTCAGTCTAACAGGAACATGTGGCAGGGTTACCGGGTGCTTCAGTCCACTTACCAACAAAACAGATGCTTTTTACTCCAGAAAAGTTCAGCAAAATTTCTCGATCAGGAGACAAAGGAAGTCCAGCCTAATCCACTGAGGTCTCGTACGATTTCAGTGGTTTCCTGTCTTTTCCTAGGCCAAACACTATTTCTACATGTGCCTCCGTGCTTCTAACATTTATATTCATCTGACTTTTCCTTTGATTGCGTCGTTCCTTCTGACTCTGAGCACTGATGCAGGACCCCACCAGGATGCACATCCTGGGATGGGATCCCTCCTCTGCCTCACTTCTACCAGCGATGCACCCACTCCTTGGGTACCAGTCTGAATTACTGAGGTGCAGTTTGCTGTGTTCTGCTGATACAAGTGAGCTTCTGAAGCAATTCGCTGTAAGATCAAAGATGTTCCTCATCAAAGGAGGTCCATGTCTTTAGCTGATGGCTCTTTCCTGAAGTGAAGTATTCCTGATGGACTTCTTTGACATATTGGTGTGGTCAAGAGGAAAATCACACTCAGACAGAGGTTCAAAAAGAAGGCTGTGTCAGAGCATTCACACCTCCTGTAAATCTCTGGCCTTGTTCCAGGTGTATTTTTAGGTTGTGTAAAAATGCTGCTTAGCCAGAAGTTTTACACAGTGGTCCTCTGTCTGGTACAGGCCAGCAGCAAGCTGCTAGTAAGTAGCTCTGGTAACACTGTAATCAATGCCAAGTACTCAGGTGTCTGAGCCAATAGTGCTGGGATGAGTAGGAATTATGTGTAATTGCACTTTACTAGAACTTATAACTGATTTCCAGAGCTTACCCAACAGTCCTTTGTCATCCTCCTCCTCCCCATGACTGCTGATAGTGCAGCAAAAAAGGTGATTGTTATGCCAAAATAACGAGCAAAGAGGTCAGAAAGTTTGCTAAGAGCAGGAAAAGTCATTTCCTATGATATTATTAGCAGTCTTTTGGGGAGAAGGTTCAGAATTGCTATGGTAATTCTGAATGGGTTTCAACTGTGAGGACACGGATGTAATTTTTTTAGCATCTTCGCTAGTGAGAGAGAATTCCGTTATGTATGGCGTCACAGAAGGGCATGGGCTGGGGGCTTGGGAGGCAGAGGCTCTGCCCTGTGCTGTGTAACTTGTCCAGACCTAAGGTTTTTCTTCTCAAAATGGTCTATGGTAGCATAGATACATCAGTGAGCAAGCACAAAAGGAAATTGTCCATGGAGCAGATCAGTTTGACAAATATTTCATCAAATATGTGTCTGTACAATAAACTTCATGCATGTGTTATTGCTGCACAAACTGCAAAACCAGACAGGGTGGAGGGTGCTCTTTGTATAGGGAAAGGCACAATTTGCTGGAGTGGGGCCTGGATGTGGAAGTATGAGATCTAATTATGAGTTAGCAGCAGACCTGGTGGTTCCCCTGGCAGCACAGACTGGCTGTGGTATTTTGTGCCTTCTCTGGGTTGTTGTTGAGCAGTCATTGATATTCCTTTGGTTTTCGAGAGATGCTTTTAACCTTTCAGAGAACAAGAGCCACTAAAAGTCTCTGTGTGTGCAGATACACTTTGGTTTTCACTGGGTTGATGTAAATTTGCTGCTCCTATGTGGAGCACAAGCGATGTGGCTTCTTTTGAGCTTTTCTCACATCTGTATTTGGGGTCAGGAAGAACAAAGCCTGCAAGTCTCTATATACTGGAGAGCAACGAGGAGAGGACACTCTTCAGTGTATTTTACTTCCCAGTAGTTGTTTGGATTTGACTTTTCTTTCTCCTCTGCAGGTGCAAACAGATGACCTACCCAGACGACCTACCCCAGATCTCTGTGGTCTTCATATTTGTGAACGAGGCGCTGTCTGTGATCCTGCGCTCCGTGCACAGCGTCGTCAACCACACCCCCTCTCACCTGCTCAAGGAGATCATCCTGGTGGACGACAACAGTGACAACGGTGAACATACAGAACTTCTCCTCTAAATACTCTATCCTGTGTGCTTAAAGGACATGAAACACAAATCGGAGTGTGGTCACTACTAGCAAAAATGCTGTTTGGGTTTTGGTTTTGGTGTTTATTCTTAATGTTGGGCTGAAGCAGTGTTGAGTTATTGTGCATTTAAACAGCTGGGGGAGGAAGGTCATACGTGCAACCACTGATCCATGGCTCATGAGCTAGATCAGCAGTTGGTGTATGTTGGCATGTTTCTATTGAAGCCAGTAGGCTTTACAAGACTTTGTGTTTGCTGATGAGAGTGAGCTGCTCACATAAAGCTGTGAGTAGATTTTAACTATTTGTATAATAAATATTACATGGATAAACCCAGCTGATTTCACTGAAATCCTCACAGCATGAATGACACTTGTATAGTCCATCTTAATATAGAAATGACACTTTTCTCCAAATGTTCAGTTCCAGAGGAATATCATCATTAATAGGCTTAAAGTTTAAATTCTGCTTTTAAGGAAAAGTGAGGCTACGGATTCTCCTTAAAGATAGATTCTACTGTTTTACATGGAAGCACACTCTGCTTCTTCATGACTTAAACAGGTCTTGATAATATCAGATTTGGAGCCTGATTTTGTGGTTTTTTTTCTGAGATAGGGAGTAAATTAGACAAAAATTAGACTATGAGAAAGAAACAGAACGGTCACAAAGAACATTCAACTTTGAGGTCATCTGGTTCATTAATGTGAAAATAACAAAACTCAGCATGTTGTTGAATATATAGAGATTGATGAACATGTTTCAAGGGACAGCCAGGTTTGAAGAGCTTTTAGGGTAGAGGTGATTAGCAATGTTGTTGTGTTTAAGCTGTTATACATTAGACTTCTAGAACTGTTGCAGCTTCTCAAATCATGTTTGTTAAAATAAGGCTCAAGTTTAGCCTTTCCTCCATAGATCAACAGCATTAAATCTTGCAGTGTTAAGTTGCTGTTCTTCAAGATCTCTGAAAAGAAAGGGGGGTTGATAGAACAAGTCACTAAAACAAAAATAGGTACCCAAACCTACAGATTTAAGAAATCTTTCTGCTTTCAGTTGTGGCAGTGTAGCCTATGGAGTAATTGAATGAAATTGTGACGTGTTTGAGTCAGTGTAATGCAGAGAAGTCTTGGACTCACTGTTTCTCAGAGAACTCTTATGTGTCTTTTCTCTATCATTCTTCCAGATAACTGGAGATTTATCAGGTCTTTGATTCCAATGATAATGATTCTACTGTGTAATATAGATCAGAAGAATGAGGCTTCTAATGTCCTGGAAGCTTCTACTAGTTTTCCTAATAAATATATTTAAGTAAAATCCTCATTATGAGTAAGTTGCAGTGTAAATGAATTGCCAAACTAGAATGATTTAAAAAAATACAGAGACCATTTTGGTAATTTGTGTGTTTATAATTTGACTATTGAAATGAAGCTGAATAAAGGAGTGAATGAGTTCTGCTCCATCTATGGATGAATGCCTGAAAATGAACAAAAGAGAAGAAGTCTATTTGAAATCTTCAATATCAATTTAGTTCAATGGGGAAGAAGCCTGGTATTAAGGAGTCTTAATTATATTTAAGGGAAAACTCTTAAAATGAAGGGAAATTAATTCTGATCTTAATTATGTCTTTACCCAAAATCTATTGAGGTTATTTTTCAAACTCTTACTGAATACCATAAGTCAGAAAAAATAAAACTCAAACCAAAAAACAGTCTCCCATGTTACACTGCTGTAAGGGCAGAACTGCTCCTCCAGAGGCCAGCTGTTGCCTGATGCAAATCATCAGAGAGTTAGAATGGTAACTACGTAAAAAAAATTTAGACAAATATCAGTCTAGACAACTACCTCTTCAAAACAATACTCAGATCCATCAGGCCATATTCAACCTAGGCAAGTCTAACAGTAACTGCTCTGGAGAATTTCTACTGACTAGGGGTTTAGGAATACTTAAGAATTTCTTTCCCTTTTTTTTTTTTTTTTGTCTTGCAGTTGAGCTAAAGTTTAATCTGGACCAGTATGTCAACAAAAGATACCCAGGTCTGGTGAAAATAGTGCGGAATAACAAACGAGAAGGGCTCATTCGAGCCAGAATCCAAGGCTGGAAAGCAGCAACCTCTCCTGTTGTTGGATTCTTTGATGCTCACGTTGAATTCAACATTGGCTGGTAAGTTGTTGACTATTCCAGAGGGGGAGCAGTACTGTCACACTGTGCCCTGTGTCTCAGAGGCTGGAGAGGAGATTTGCTCAACAACAGGGAAGATGAAAAACTGTCGAGATGAGACAACTATGGGCTGGTGTTATTGTATTAGCCATTACTCTTGAATAATATTCTTTATTATTGCAACATTGCTGACAATTTTCTGCAATTGCTGCAAAGATCAGTAAAAAAAAAAATGTCGTGCCTGCTCTAGTACAGCCCAGTGGAGAGAGAAGTAATTTAAACCACAATGAATATGAAACCTCCAAAGCAGTTGAACACGGAGACACCATTAAGGAGGCTCTGGGCTGGAGGCAAATGCATGCTTTCAAGGACTTTTTTTTTTTACCTCCTTGTTTTCTATCATTTCTCAGAAACTTGAATGCCAATCTGATTTCCTAATAAATATTCTTGCATTTACTTCTGAGAGAAACATCGAATTATTTCCTGCATTTTTAATGGGGCTTGAAATTAGCATTCCTTTCCTCATCCGCTTTATTTTGCAAGGGAGCAGTATCAAAGTGGCAAGCACAGTTTTGGGCTTAATGGGCCAGATCTGCAGTTGGAGTAAATCTTTGTAGCACCACTTAGTGGCCGATATTTGCATTATTGGGAGTCGGGAGTGAAGGAACTGATTTGTACAGTCAGCTGGAAAAGGGCTGCTGGGACCTTCAGTATGTAAAATGTGTATTTTCCAAAGATAGGCTTGTATTTGATAATGCTGATGGAGGGTTGTGGTGGAGCTGATTATGCTGTGCAGTTCTGGGAGATATCCCCAAATTAAAACTAAAAATAGCTGTACTTACAACCACAGAGAAACTTAATTGCAAAGAAGTAGAGTGTTTATTTTTATATGTTCATGAATAACTTTATAAAATGGAAGATGCAATAAAATAAGTCTTGTAGTGCACCTGTTTTATGTTCACCCTGTTTTTTCTTTCTTTTTTTTTGCCAGGACTATGAAAGACTATAATAGCAGTTGTAATTTTCTAGAAGCTTAAGAGCTGTTTTTTATTTATTTGTTTAGTTTTAAAGCATCTAGGTCTTTCAAATAATTGTAAATGTTCATGCAGGGTAATATCAGCTACTGGGCAGAATTGAAGTCTGTGGAGAGGATGCTCTGGGTGCTGTTCTCAGTGCTCATTCTGCCCAAGCTGCAGTTTTTTGAGCCTTGCAGAGAATTTTATTATCACTTCTATAGAGAACATGGAGATCTTACTGATGTACTGTCCCCAGAGAAGCTAGGCAATGGTGTCAGTAAGCAGGAAAGGGTTTTGTGGTTACATTTGGGTTTGGTTTGGTTTGGGTTTTTTTAACCTTAGTGCATTAAGGTTTGCATTAATGTCAGAAAGGGTTGAAATCAGCATAGCAAGAACCTAGACTACTTGGTAAATGAGAGCGTGTGTATCTCTGAGATAAAAAGTGTTTGCATTTAGTACACTCTCCCTGGTGTACCCTCCTTTCAACAAGTGCTCTTACATCTCAGTAATACTGCTGAGCCAGTCTCTGCAGCTGCTTTGAGACCACTTGGCTTCTGGAGTAGCCACAGAGGATGAATGGGAACAGCAAACATGCACCAGCAGCATCACATACCCCTTTGTTTCAGAGCCACACGTGGAGGCTTCAGTGTCTTCCCTCCTGGAGCTTCTCCTGCTGTTCCTCTCAACCTCTGGGGCTGCTGACAGCCATCTCAGACCTTGTTCTACCTCTTTCCTGGTTTGAATTCTGTCCACCTGTGCACATGCAGTTGCCTGTCATCTAAATTTTTGTCTCTTCTTTTACTAGAAGAGACTGGAAGTCCTTCTGCCTGGACTGCTTTATTTTTTCCCACCTGGTTAACATTACCCCTGCTCCATAACCCTATAAACTTGGTGGTTGTCTTCTTAAAGTACAGCTCTTCTGTTCTCCTACTAAGTCTCGTCTTATATGAGTATTTCCCCCATTTTTAATGCATATTCATGTATTCAGAGGCCACATGGTTTGCTCCCACTTAAAGCTGTCTGTGGATTATTTGTGAGGCAATTAAGAAGAAGCCAATTCCTTTACTACAGAAAAGAGCATTAACTTTCTGTTTGGTTTGTGTTCCATCTAAAAGTCAAGTGCCTTCAGTGCAGTTTTAGTCTTCCAATCTATGGCTACTTTACCTTCCTAAGCAGTTGGCAGATTAATTCATAAAGAATCAGAGAAGGACTTCATCACTTTCTCATGAAATTTGCAGGACTATGACAACAAAAAACCCTTTTCTTTAAACAACAGTTGCCCCATTTATGGGTGAGCTTTTGCCTTATATCGCACTATAGCATTTTATGGGATCTCAGAGTATTACTCTCCAGGGACACTTCTTCTAAACTAAAATACAATCTGGTAGGATATAAAAAAAAATGTCTACAACCTGGCAGGTCAAATTAACTATTGAATTATTTATTTTGCTGTGCTTAATTGCTGCATTTTTGCTTCTCAGGTGTTGAAATGTAGTAGTGCAGAGCAGAGATTTTCTACTGACCTGTTCCCCTTAAGGCTTTTGATAGTGTGAGCCAATACTGCTGCTGTGAAAGCAAAAATGGAGAGGACTAGCTGAAAGGAAGGCCATTACTATTAATTCTAAAATGGAATTTTAAATTAAAATTACATTATAAAGCATGTATACCGTTCATATGTAAAATTCTACCTGCCTTGCAGTTGAACCTTGTCTTGTTTTAATGGTTACTTAATGTCAATAGGAGTCAGCATCTAGAGTAAGCAACCCAGTAGAACCAGTGGGTATAAAAAGCTCCTGTTCATTTCTCTCTGAGGGTATATTTGAGCTTGTATAGTTCAGTTTTCCCTTCAGTCCTCTGAGATTTCA